CATCTGTAGTCCCAGCTACTAGGGAGACTGAGATGGGAAGATTGCTTGAACCCAGGTGGTCAAGTCTGCAGTGAGCTGTGAAAGCATCACTGCACTCCAGCCTGGAAAATAGAGAGACCTTAGCTTAGAAAAAAAAAAAAATTGTTGACATCACCTGTCTTACTTCATTTGAACTGCTATATCAGAATAACATACATACATGGATGGCTTATAAACAATATAAATTTATTTCTGATAGTTTTGGAGGTTGGGAAGCCCAAGATGAAGGTGCCAGCAGATCAGTGTCCAGTAAGGGCCCACTTCCTGGTTCACAAATGGCCATCTTTTCACTGTATTCTCACATAGCAGAAGGTGAAACAAGCTCTCTCAGGGCTCTTACAAGGACACTAATCTTATTCGTGACAGCTACACCCTCATGATTTAATCACCTCCCAAAGGCCCCATGTCCAAATATCATCTCATTAGGGATTAAGGTTCAACATAGGAATTTTGTGGGGACACAAAGTCAGTTTACTGCATCAATCAACCTCTAGTGCCAGTATCAAATTAGTTGCCTACTGCGTAACAATCATCCAAAACTTGGAAGCTTAAAACACATAACTTAAGATTGATTATCTCACATCGTTTCTGAGAGTCAGGAATCCAGGGGTAGTTAGCTAAATGGTTCTGACTCAAATGTCAGCTTCAGGCAGGGACGCAATCATCATGAAGTTTGACTGGAGCTGGAAGAACACTGCTGGCTACTGGCTAGCAGCTTTGGTTCTTTGCTGTTTGGGCCATCCATAGAGATGCTCACTTGGCTAGGTTCTCCTAGAGCAAGTGATCAGCAAAAGTGTGGTGAAAAAGGAAAGATTAGATTATTATTATCTTTAATAATCTAATCTTAAAATTAACATTCTGCTGTTTTTTATTGGTCACATAGACCAGTCTTGGCACAGTATGGAAGAAGAATGAATCCACAGGGTACAAATACCAGGAGGTGGTGCGGGCCATCTTGGAGGCTGGCTGCTGTAGTGGCTTGGCAATTCCAGGCAGAGTCTCATTTATAATATCCAAATAAGGAAGGAAAGAAACAGGGAGGGAAAGGGGGAACTTCTTCACATAACTTCTCTTTTCTCGGGGAAAAAAACATTGTTCAGGGAGCTCTCCAATAAACTACTGTTTGTCTTTGGCCTTTATACGATACAACAGTTACCCCCTAAGTGCAAAAAAGCCTAGAAAAATGAGTATCTGGTAGTTTCTGCCTCAGTCATAAAAAGAAGGCAGGAAAGTAGAAGGTTTGGTATAACTTTTTTTTTGAGACATAATTTCATTCTTGTTGCCCAGGTGGAGTGCAATGGCACCATCTTGGCTCACCACAACCTCCACCTCCTGGGTTCAAGTGATTCTCCTGCCTCAGCCTCCCAAGCAGCTGGGACTACACCATGCCTGGCTAATTTTGTATTTTTAGTAGAGACAGGGTTTCCCCACATTGGCCAGGCTGGCCTTGAACTGCCGACCTCAGGTGATCCACCCACCTCGGCCTCCCAAAGTGCTGGGATTACAGGCATGAGCCACCATGCCTGGCCTGGTATTACTTTTACATAGACAATCAATTGTCTGCCACAAAAGTTAAGTAAAAAGCACAGCAAAGACATACAAGTCAATGATTATAACCACATATTTTGAATATATATTTCTAAATCCTAGAAATTAAATGGTTTACCTCAAAGATGCCTGAAAGTTTGTTTTTAAGTTGATACAAATGTAAACAAAAAATGCTAAGCTAATATTCCTCACTATAATTATATAGAATTTTATAATATCCAAAGACTATTCATATATGTATTCTTTACAATAGCCTTAAAAGAAAAATAAAGCAAATATTATGATGGTAGCCCCACTTTACAGATAAGAAACATGAAGTAATGGTGTGACCATAGCTCACTGCACCCTTCAACTCCTGGGCTAGAGTGATGCTCCTGCCTTAGCCTCCCTAGTAGCTGGCCCTACGGACATGCCACCATACTGGCTACTTTTCAAATTTTTTTAGAGATGAAGTCTTAGTATGTTGCCCAAGCTGTTCTGAATTCCTGACTTCAAGCAGTCCTCTTGCCTCAGCCTCCCAAGTAGTTGAAATTACAGGCATGAGCCACTGCACCCAGCAAAAAAAATGATCATTTTTGACAACACTAATACTATAGTAATTTACTTAACCCACTATCACTAACATTAGGTTATTTCCCGTTTGTCACTCTCATGGTCAATCCTATCAAAATATTTTCATGCATTATTTTCCCCTCCTTACTTATTTTATCAGGATAAAATACCACAAATTGGTTGACTGGGTCAAAACACACATACATTTTTAGAACCTTGCTATATACTGATTTCTAAAAGCAATTTAATATAATTTAGTTAACAAATTTAGATGCTACCAGCATGAGTATACCATGAGGTTCACCAAAACCTCACCATCCCCAAGTACTTTGCTGAATTCTTGCTTATTTAGAAAGAAATAAAATGCTCCTATAGTTTTAATTTGCATTTATTTGATTACTTGTGAGATCAAACACTCCTTTTGTATTTTTTACTTGCTTCTTATCAGAACTATAAATTCACATCTGTATTTCATTTATCTACTAGAGTCTTGAGATTTCTCTTATAAAATTAATAAGTTCTTTATTTCTCATAAACAGGCTTTGTTATTTGGTTTAAATATTTCTTCTAATGTTACCTTTTTTATTTTTGTTTTACCAACAATCAATTGTACAAAAAAAGTTATATAATAATTCTATTTTATAAAATGCTCTTCAGTGTTTTGCTTGATTTTCTCACTCCAAAATGGAAAAGTTAAGATTCCACAAAGGTGATAAATATGATACCAGCTATAATGTTTATTCTCCTTTTAATCAGCATGTTGTTTATTTGGATCTATGATATTCAATTTAAATTTAGTCGCAGAATTCAAAAATTGTACTTAACTAAAGATGCCCTTTTGCATGCTGCTAACTGCTATAGATAGTTGGGTGGAGTAAGATAACCCAAATAATGTGGAACTACTATAAATAATATAAATGCTGTGAACTTACCTATAAAATCAGAAATCAGTAAGGCATGTGTAAACATTATCTAAAAGGGACAAAACAGCTCCCAGACCCACACAAGGTGGCTATACCCTAATTGAAAGTGCTCTAACATTATCTATTTTAGAAGACAAATGGAGCTTCATTCAGAACGGGCACTGGTCAGCCACTGGTGTACAGGACAGGTAAAAAAGTTAAACTGGGCAAAGTCCACTCCAGTATATTCTAGGTGAGTTGTCTGGTCTTAGGGTCTGGATGTTTCTGATCTGGAAGTGAGACTGTGTAAATACGGCTGCCTGAGGCTATCTTTGCTGATGTTATCAAATCTTTGAATCCTAATTCATAATTCCTGTTAATATTGCAAGTGTCATACCTGTTTTCTTAATATTTTCATAGAATTGCACTGAAAGGCTTAATGGTCATATAATTCAAATAGAAACTCAATCTGCAAGCCTTTCACATGAATTATTATCAAGACATGCTCCTCTATTCACTAATTCTATTTTCTGGCTTTCTTTAAAAAGAGCTCTGTTAAGAAATAATTAAGAATAAGCTGCACACATTTAAAGTGTACAACTCAAAAAGTTTGGACATATGTGTATTTACCTGTGAAACCAACATCACATCAAGATAGTGAACCTCCTAAATCTGTCCTGCCCTTTTGTATTCCTTTCCTCCCTTCCTTTGCTGTCTCCTCTGCATTTGATATGCTTCCATTGCTATATAGCAGTTATATTTTCCAGAATTTTTAATAGGTGTAATATCTTCTTTTTTGCCTGGCTTCTTTCACATAGCATAATTGTTTTGGGGTTCATACACATTGTTACAAATATTGCTGAGGAGTATTCCATTATATAGCTATACCACAATTTCATTATTCAGTTACCTGTTGATAATCACTCTGGAAAATGGTTTTAGCAACTTCCTAAAAAATACAAAAAGGCTGGGCATGGTGACTCATGCCTGTAATCCCAGCATTTTGGGAGGCCGAGGTAGGCAAATCACTTGAGGTCAGGAGTTCCAGACCAGCCAGGACACCATGGTGAAACCCCTATCTCTACTAAAATTACAAAAATTGGCTGGGCTTGGTGGCACACTCTGTAATGCTAGCTACTCGGGAGGCGGAGGCAGGAGAATTGGTTGAACCTGGGAGGTGGAAGCTGCAGTGAACCAAGATTGCACCACTGCACTCCAGCCTGGGCAACAGAGCGAGACCCTATCTTAAATAAATACATAAATAAATAATTTTTAAAAATTTTTAAAAACCTACCTACCATTTCATTCCTAGAAATTCACTCAAGAGAAAAGAATGCATATGTTCATATAAAAACTTATACATGAATATTCATAGTATCTTTATCCAGATTAGCTAAAACTTAGAAACAACTCATCTCCATCTACACATGCACAGATAAACAAATTGTGGTATATTCATAAAATGACATACTACTTGGCAATAACTACTAATACACATGACAGACAATATGGATAAATCTCAAAATAACTAAGCTGCGTAAAAGAAGCAAAACAAAAATATGAGTACTTATTTCTTGCCAATTCTTTTTTTAATGACCTGGTCACGTTTATAGCCTCTTACCTTTTACTTATTTTTTATAATCCCTATTTTATTTATTGAAATATATTAAACCATGTACATATGTATGTATTTATATATACAGACAAACAAGGTCTCGATCTGTTGCCCAGGCTGGAGTACAGTGGCGTGGTGATGTCTCACTGCAGCCTTGACCCCTGAGGCTCCAGTGATACTCCCACCTCAGCCTCCTGAATAGCTGAGTCTACAACCACACCCAGCTAATTCTATTTATTGTAGAAACAGGGTTTCACTATATAGCCCAGGCTGGTCTTGAATTCCTGGGCTCAAGCAATCCTCTTGCCTCAGTCTCCCAAAGTGCTGAGATTATAAGTGTGAGCTACTGCACCTGGCCATAAACATATTTATTTCATGTACTGTATATTTCTAATAGTTGAAATATCTATAGATCTCTTTCAGTTGTTTGCTGTTTATGCTGACTCTTGCTTTTAGTGTTTTGAATTTTTCCCCCCTTGCTACATTTTGTAGTTTTAAAATATGTGTATGAGCTTATTTGTTAGAATTTTAACTACAATTATTTAATCAATGCATTCCTCCATGCAGGATTTTCTATTGTTTTTACCAGGTAACCTAAGAGTATTACAGACTTAGGCCCATTTTGAATTTAAATCCTCCACTTCTGGAGTTTTAGAAACTATAAAAATTGTATAAATTAGGCCTCAAATTCAGGAGAATGTGAGCTGATAACCAGGAATTATTAGGGAAGATTTTAAGTCTACCCAGAGCTGAATATTTTTGCAACATGGTCTCTAATCAGGCTTCTTACCTTTATATGGGACCCAGGGATCTTTTTCTCTAGTCCTCATTCTGCTCCTTAAACAAAGCTTCTGTGCTAACAGAAATCCATGGATGCTCCCAAAGCATTCAGTGACTTCAGCACCTATTTTCTCACAGGATATGTTATACTTGTTCTGTTTCTAGCCCCAGAAAGTTTAACTTATTTTCTTAATAGGCTCATACATTCATGTTAAAGGATACTTTTTATACTGAATCCAGTACTTTAAATGTTTGGTGGAGGGAGGAATTTAGGCTCTCTTGTCTATCATATTGCTACAAATCAGTCTATTACTTCTGTAACTGCTTTATAAAATTTAAATAGAATATTATATTTATTCCTGATACATTTTATTTTGATATGTTGGGTATAGTCTACAAGTCTGTCAAGAGCATTTAAAATCTTGATTGAATCATCATAGTAGCTTACCTTAGAAGTCGTACATCATTTGCAAATTTGTTTCAACCTTCTTAGCCTTCACCAAAGTCACTGATCACCACAGCTTCTGACAAAAAGAAAAGCTTTAATATTAATTTTTAAAATCTTTATAGCAAATCCAACATAATTTCTTATTGCTCTCAGGTATACGGAATCACAAAGTAAATTTCCATCATAATCAAATACTAATAAATCAAATTAAAACAGGTAAATCTTCACATCCCAATTACTTCAAGTGACAGACCTTTCTAACAGTAGTATTTAACTGAATGAAAAATATATTTATCATCAAGGGAAACCATTAGAAGTATAAAGGGTTGGCCTGGGTAAAGGGGGCTCTAGTACCTCTGAAATCTCCAACAGCCCCCATCTTCAAAAGGAAGAAACACGGTTTATTTAAACTAGTACCTTAAAGGTCAGTGTTTACAAAAAGGCTGTGTGAGGCTTTCCTGAATAAAGCATGCTTTCTTTGCCTTAAATGTTCAGTAAAATTTTAGCTCTTCTCATATTTCTATTGTTTCATAGCACAAAACATAGAAGAGCACTGAAGGATCATAAAGGGAAGCTTCGAAGGGTTTCTTGCTTTTAACAACATCATGAAAACCCATGCCTGCTAGATTTTTTTCTTTTCTACTTCACCACTTTTAGTTCATACCTTTTACTAATTTCAGTCACCAATGGCAATTTCTGTAAAATCTATCTCCAACATAAAAGCATGTATATATGTGTGCTTATTTTCCCATCAGAAATAAGAGAAAACTTACACTTCTCTCCTTTAGTGCATTGCATGAAGAACGAATAAACCACTGATTTGTGGTCTGCATCTTTACATTCCGAGTAGCAACTTAACAGCCTTAAATAGAAAACTTTGCTCTTGATATTCTTTCTTCTCAATATTTGATGGATATCCTGCAATAAAGTGGGGAAAAAAAGCACAGGCTTTGGATTCACATCAAGCTGGGTTTAAATCTCAATCTTCTACTTAGTTACTGGCTAATCTGAAGCAAATTTTTAATCTCTCTGGGCCTAGGGAAAATAAGATGGGTCTTAATATATATCTGCAAGAATCAAATGATATAGCATATATATAGTGTCAGCAAAGTGCCTAACACATAACATACACTCTATTATGTTAGCTTTCCTGTGTAATTTTATGTTTCATTTTCAGTTTACTAAATCTGTCAAAGGAATTTCCAGGCTAAATTTTCTTACGTTATAGCCTTGATTAATTCTATAGTTCTGTCCAACAATTATCAACATTATAGGCCAGGCATATTTGGCTCACAACTGTAATCCCAGCACTTTGGGAGGCTGAGGCAGAAGGATCGCTTGAGCCTGGGAGTTTGAGATCAGCCTGAGCAATATAGTGAGACCTCATCTCCACAAAAATAAAATAAAATAAATAAAAATAAAAACAAAAAGATTTTGCAACACTTAATACTTTCAAAATAGCAGCACATCAATACTACTACTACTGAATATATCCCACCAAGAAAGTACATTTGAAAAGCTATATTCTAAAGTCACTGGAATTTGTTCCTTTTTGTGTGTGGTTATGTCATCAAAACATGATATAGTTGTGTAAACTTGTTTCAGCTCCTTTTCAGATTTTTTTTCATTCTACCTTTTTATTTAATCCCACTTTTGAATATGTGGAAATACATGATGATTCTAGGATCAAAACTATAGAAACAACTTCTGTAGTTGTTTCTTATCTCTTCCATCGTTGGCACCTTTACCCTGCTCCTTCCTTCTGCAGATAGATCGCATAGTATTCCACGCCTTTGTTTTTTCCACTCCCTAATGTATTCTGCAGATCATTCTCTATTGGTACATAGAGACTTTCTCCATTCTCTATTATGACCTCTATAGAAAGAGAGTGTCTTGGAAGGGGCACCATCTACCTGGAGAATGTTGTACTGTCTGGACGCACCTTAGTTTATACAACCAGTTATCTATTAAGGGGCATTTTGGTTAATTTCCAACCTTTTGCAAATGCAAGTAATATGCTGCTGTGACTAACCTCCCTTTGACTATTCCCTCTCATGCAATTTATGCTTTTGTAACCAGCAATGTATCAAAGTGCAAAGTGCCTGTTTCCCCACAGTCTACACAGGGTATATTGTATAGCTTTTGGATTTTGTTGAGAAATGCTTATCATAGCTTTAATTTGTATTTTTCTTTGTATGATTGAAGGTGGAACATATATTTTATTTATTTTTTTGAGATGGATTCTTGCTGTGTTGCCCAGGCTGGAGTGCAGTGGCGTAATCTAGGCTCATTGCAACTGCTGCCTTCTGGGTTCAAGCAATTCTCCTGCCTCAGCCTCCACAGTAGCTGGGATTATAGCCACCCACCACCATATCAAGCTAATTTTTGTATTTTTAGTAGAGGTGGAGTTTCACCATGTTGGCCAGGCTGGTGTTGAACTCCTGACCTCAAGTGATCTACCCCCCTTGGCTTCCCAAAGTGCTGGGGTTACAGGTGCGAGCCACTGTACCCAGTCTGGAACATCTTTTATATGTCTGTGATATGCATTTCTTTTTTATATCTTTGGCCCATTTTCCTACTGGGTTGATGGTCTTATTTGCCTGGAATTTTAGGAAGTTGTTTTCACCAAGAAGGTTAGCTCTTTGTGATATAAGTCCAAATATTTTTGCTCGCTTTGTTGCTTGCCTTTTGACTTTGCTCATGGCATTTTTCATCATTTAAATACTTTGTTAAAATCAATATAGTAGGGTTTATCACGGTTTTTATTTTTAGAATGAGTCATAGTTATAAAATCCTTGGCTCACACTTTCATAGACTTTAAACATGCTGTTCCATGGCTGTTTTGCTTTGTATGTTGCTGTTTAGAAGTCTGTTGCTAACCTCTCCTTTCTGTCTGGAAGCCCAGAGGAATTCTTCATCATTTTGAAAGTCCAATTGTTTTACTAGGACATGACTTGGAGCTGACCATTCTGGATCAATTTTCCCAGTACACAATGAGCCTTTTCAACATGTTAATTGTAGTCAGCTCTTATTTCCAGAATGTTTTCATGGATTGAAACTTAAATACTAGCTTTGCTATTGTTTTTTCTTCTCTACTTTTACTTATCTTCTATATTAATCACTTTCTATTACTTTTTAACCTTTTTTCATTTAATTTTCATTCTCTTGGTTGCTTGCATACATTTTCTCAATGCTCCTTATATTCAGCCCAATATTTTATGTACCCTAGAATTCAGCTTCATTTCTTCTTTATGACTTCTTTTTTTGAGACAAGACACTCTATATTGCCCAGGATGGCCTCAAACTCCTGAGCTCAAGCCTCTCAAGTAGCTGAAACTACAGGCGTGTACCACCTCACCTGGCTTTAACTTAATTTTAAAAGCTGACTCTTCTTTTGATTCCTTTTATTTCCTGAGTTCAGTAAATTCACTTTTCATATCTTCCCCTTTTTGTCCTTTTGTTTTGCAGTTCTGAATTTGGATTTGAGAGTTTTTATCTCTACAAATGCTAGTTTAAGGATATTTTAAATTCTGGTAGGAGTGTTGTGTTGTGCTATAGCTGGATGTTTCAGGAAGAGCTTTCATCAGCTAAAGTTTTTTTAAAATATTTTTTTCTTATTTTTTGTAGAGACTAGGTCTCACTATATTGCCCAGGCTGGTCTCAAACTCCTGGGCTCAAGTGATCCACCCATCTTGGCCTCAAAGTGCTGGGATTACAGCTGTGAGCCACTGTGCCTGGCCCTGTTGAAATGTTTTGACTATTATTTTGTTTTCTAGCTAAAGTAACTTTATATGGATGTTGCCTGCCATCTTCTGTTCATCTTGAAGTATTTTATTTTTCCTAAACCAGATATAGTTGTGTACAGGCAGGAGCAAAGAATTTAGATAACTTAACTGGATTTCTTAGTTCAACAGTACCTAATAAAGTGGTTTTTTTTTTTTTTTTTTTTTTTTTTTTCAAAAAAAATTAATGACTCCTTTTTGGGTGGGAGAAATGTTCTATTTTCTATTTTGTTTCACCAAGATCCTTAATTTCTACTACCTCTTCTCTTTCCCACCAAGCCTCCAGGTAGATGGTGACCCTTCCAAGGCAGCCTCTTTCCTTTCCCCAGAAGCAGTACTTTCCTGAGACTGCCTCTTTGGTCTCATTTTCTTTCAAGTCTCTTATTTTGTCTAATGAATCTCATACCTCTTTTCACTTCTCTATTCAGGGTGGGGCTTTCTCTTTCCGGGAATTATCCGTATTCTGCTACCCCTAGGTCCTGCAACCTCTCCTCTTTTACAGTCTCCACCTCACTTGCCACCTCTCAGCGGGTTCCAGTATTCTGCTAGACTGCAGTGTTGATTTCCCTGCATGCCCATAATTTGACATTGTGCTAGCTATTAATGTATGCTTACATGTCAATAGATTTATATGCTTTTTCTCTTGTTAATCTATTAGTTTATTTCAGCCAACTCAGTTATCAAACCTTCAGAAGGGAAATTTAAACTTCCTTGAAAATTGCTGGTTATTATTTAATATTGTTATTATTTTGCCCAGGCTGGAGTGCAGTGGCACAATCACAGCTCACTGTGGCCTCCTGGGCTCAAGACCTCTCAGCCTCTTGAGTAGCTGGGATTACAGGCGTGTGGCACTATGCCCAGCTAATTTTTTGTATTTATTTTTATTTTTTAGAGACAGGGTTTTGCCATGTTGCCCAAGCTAGTCTCGAACTTCTGGGCTCAAGCAGTCCTCCCACCTCAGCTCCCCAAAGTGCTGGGATTACAGGCGTAAGCCACCACACCCAGTTGGTATTATTTTTATTAGTGTTTTATCTTGTACTTCTGAGTATAAGTTTCTACCTGTCAGCTTCAAGGGCTTTTTGCTCCCAGCTAATTCCTAAGAAGCAAACAATCTTACTCTACTTCTCATCCACCCTCTTCTCCTCCCATTTTTTTGTGGGTTTTATTATTTCTATAATGTTAGACCATGTAATATTTACATACTATTCTATCATCATTATCCCTATCTTTTAATCTTGATGCTACACACAACATATATTCAATTTACTCACCCCCTGACCTTATGTTGAAGACTTTCCAATCATTTCTTGGTTGTCTGAATTTGTTCTCTAGTATACTCTTCAGAAGCATTCATGGGAACAATTATAGCCATTTTCCTTGAATTATTTCATGTTTATAAAGGTTTGTCAATGCCCTGAATTCTTGAAGGGTAGTTTGGTGAGATAGGAATTATTTTATTTCTTTGAATAAATACTTTCTTAATATCTGGCATAAAATGCTCCTGGCCAGGCACGGTGGCTCACACCTGTAATCCCAGCACTTTGGGAGGCTGAGGCGGGCAGATCACGAGGTCAAGAGATCGAGACCATCCTGGCCAACATGGTGAAAACCCATCTCTACTAAAAGTGCAAAAAATTAGCCAGGCGTGGTGGTGCGTGCCTGTTATCCCAGCTACTCGGGATGCTGAGGCAGGAGAATTGCTTGAAATCGGAAAACAGAAGTTGCAGTGAGCCAGGATCATGCCACAGCACTCCAGCCTGGTGATAAGCAAGCCTCTGTCTCACAAAAAAAAAAAAAAAAATGTTGCTGCCAAAAAATCTAATCCAATCTGATTTTCTTTCCAAGTGACCTGGTCTATTTCCCCCATCAATGCAAAAAGGTTTTTATATTTTTAAAAATCCACCAATTTTACAAGACCAATCTCAGTGTTTACTGTTGTGGGTTGATTTCTCCAGATTTACAGTGTGCCTTTCAACATATGTAGATTTGAACCTACTTTAATGTTAAGTGTTCTTGAATTATAGACCTAATAGTTGCTCTGGTCCATTGCTTTGGATTACTTTTATTTTTATTGTAGTAAAATAAGTAACACAAAATTTACCGTTTTCAATCCAGTGGCATTATGTATATTCAGTGTTAACATAAATGTCATCATTATCCTTTGGCTTACATTTGGGGAGCTCATTTATATTTATTCTGACTCTCTTTGCCAGTCTTGTCACCTCTTGACTCCTTTTTAAAAATCTTTTTGGCCAGGCGCAGTGACTCACATCTGGAATCCTAACACTTTGGGAGGCAGAGGCGGGTGGATCACCCAAGTTCAGGAGTTCGAGACCAGCCTGGCCAACATGGTAAAACTCCATCTCTACTAAAAATACAGACATTAGCCAGGCATCATGGCACATGCCTGTAATCCCAGCTACTGAGGAGGCTGAGCAGGAGAATCGCTTGAACCTGGGAGGTGGAGGTTGCAGTAAGCTGAGATCATGAGATTGCTCCATTGCACTCCAGCCTAGGCATCACAGTGAGACTCTGTCTCAAAAAAAAAAAAAAATCTTTTCAATTTTCTTCATTGCACCTTCTTCTATGGTGTAGCCATTTCATTTCTTTTTTTCACCCCCTGAATACATGGAAAAAAGTGAATTTTATTTACTTTTTTATAATTTCAAGTTTTCTTTTAGATTTGGGGGTACACTTACAAGTTTGTTACATGGGTATACTGTGTAATGCTGAAGTCTGGAGTATGATGGATCCTGTCATCCAGGTAATGGACATTGTACTCAACAGTTAGTTTTTCAACCCTTATTGCATTCCTTCCCTGCACAGTATTTCACGGTTTATACGTAACCAGTCCACCCCTGATGGACATGTAGGTTGACTCCACATCTTTGCTATTGTAACTAGCACTATAATGAACATATGAGTGCATGTATCTTTTTGGTAGAACAATTTCTTTTGGATATGCACCCAGTAATGGGATTGCTGGTCAAACAATAGTTCTGAGTTTCTTGAGAAATCTTCAAACTGATTTCCACAGTGGCTGAACTAATTTACATTCCCACCAACAGTGCATAAGGTTTCCCTTTTCTCCACCTCACTCACAACTGTTGTTTTTTGACTTTTTAATAAGAGCCATTCTGACTACTGTGAGATGATGTCTCATTGTGGTTTTGATTTGCATGTCTTTGATGATTAATGATATGGAATATTTTTTCATCTGTTTACTGGCCACTTGTTCTGTTGAGAAGTTTGTCTGTTGATGTCTTTTGACAACTTTTTAATGGGGCTGGTTTTTTTGCTTGATGAATTAACTTCCTTGTAGATTCTGGATATTAGACCTTTGTCAGATGCATAGTTTGCAAATATTTTCTCCTATTCTGTAGGTTGTCTGTTTCCTCTGTTAAAAGTTTCTTTTGCTGTGCAGAAGCTTTTTAGTTTAATTAGGTCCCACTT